TTGTTTTTTTAATGTCCCACTATGATAATTTTTACATTATTCACTTACATTACTTTAGCTAATGTTTGTGCTTTATACATAAGACTATATATGGTTATATTAGTATATAATTTGTTAGAATCCTATCAATATATTATTTTCGCATATTAACTTTTTAAAATCTACTATTAAATTTTTATTTGTCGATGTTTTGCATTATCAAATGTCATGTGTTGGTAAAATTAGGGCACTTTGAAAATATAAAGGGACCATTATATCCTTAAAAATGAGTGATTAATGATCCCTACATTTTAAAAAGTATGAGATAACACTTATAAATAGTGTAAGGACAATTATATCCTTAAAAATGTTTATTTATCTATATGCCCCTATTAATGTGATGTTAATTGGCTTTAAGATTTCCTTATGTGATTTAATGATTTATCTCTTATGAATAGTGTTTGGACAATTATACCCTCTAAAATATTTATTTACTTATTCTCCCTCATTAAAGTTATTTTTTTTTAAAAAAAAAACTCTTAAATTAGTGTGCGGACATTTATACTCCTAAAAATATTACATATGTTGTCAACCACTAAAAGAGCTCCCCAAAAATAACTAGTTTTAATAAAAGGAGGATAATGAAAAAGAAATATATTAAGTGGATATTGTCATAAGAAAGAGAAAGTTGCATGCTTAACATATGCTGAAGTAATTGATTCAACTCTTTTAAAACGGTCAACAAGACAAATGCGTGATGCATTCTTATTGGAATGGAAAAATTATAAAGCATTAATCCGCGTTAAACCAACCTATATAAAAGAAATTTCTAGGTATTTCCGTATATTAATAAAAAAATAACTTAGGATAGTAAAAGCAAATCAGTTAAGAGCTAAGTGTTCCACGGCGGAAAACTTTGTGATTAATTAATGTCCAAACTTCATTTTACTATATCTATTTATTTATACAAAAGAGTTTACGTAAGTTGAATACTTAGGCTTTGATGTTGGGATGGAAAACCAGGGTGGCTACTTATGTGCAGTAAGTAGTTTATGCAAGCTTCGGCTTTGATTGCTTTATTTGCGTGCAATAGAATAGAGATAAAAATACGAGTATTTTATTTTACTAATCTAAACTAATCTAATATATATATATATAAATAAAGGAGGCATTTTTGGAGAGCATTCGGCGTGCCACATAAGCAAAGGTATATTGTCGACCAATTAAAAATTAGATTTCTATTTTATTTTGGAATTAAAAAGTTCGTTTGCCACCTAAACAAAAGTGACGAATGAGATTTAAGAATTTTTCCACGTAAGTAAAAACAACGAATATTGATTTATTAGGATTTAATTTATTTAAAAAACTAAAAATTATCTTTTAAAATAATCATCTTTAGATATAGGATTTATATACCTACTATTATAAGATAAATTTTGATAGTTTTTATGTTAAAAAAATAAAATTTCGTACCAATACAAAACCAAACCAAGCAAATTTTTTGTGTCATTAATTTGTGTCAGTTTTATTAGGTCATCAATGGTTGGGTACGTAATTCTTAGCCTAATTTTTAAAAACCCATGTTTAAATGTATATTTGTGATTATTGCTTAAATTGTGTTTATTTGGGATACTTAATGATTACATGTTTATGTTTTGTTTACTGAATTTTGTTTTTACATGCAGATCTAATTTAATTAGAGAATTATATTCGAGCAAAAATCTATAGAATATCAAAGTGTGAGTTTCTCGCCTGATGATCCTATTGGATGAGGAGGTATTATATCATTATAAATCGTTTACATTTTTTTAACCTTTTAATGAACCTTTTAGTTTTTATCAATTAATTTTATGATTAAACAAATTTTTTGTGATTTATGTAACTTAGTTAAGTCATAAAATTAACTTAATTTTTTATTTTTAATTACAGGGTGATTACGTTCATGCCTCAGTTAAATTTAACTTTATTCTACAATTTTGTTCAAAATTGATTGAAGGAAAAAATTTACTCTATTAGATACTTTTCAGTCGTCACAAATAAGAAGCAATATCACATGCATTGTCAGCGACAATAAAATAATGATTCAATTTTCCAAAATACTATTGTTTGGGCAATTGGGGATGATGAAAAAATTCCAATGCATAGATTTAATTTTGTATAATTACAATTTTTAGATTAATTTCACAACAATTATTCACTTTTTGGTAAATATTTTAATTTATTTTATAAAACTATAAAGATTAATTTTATATAAATTTTATTTTTGATAACATGTTCTATTTATCCACTTTTATTAGATGGAAGAGATATTGGTGTGAACAAAGTTGTTGATCCTATCGAAATTTTTTTCTAATACAAATTTTTTAACATCGAAATATTACATCTAATAACTATTATTTTTAATGTTCAAAATATTATGAGTATGATAATTACAAAAATTATTTTTATGAGATTTTATGTATAAAAAACCGTGGGATATTAGGATTTATATTATTAAAAAAATAAAAAATTATCTTATGAAATTAATGGTTTTATCTAAATACCCGATTAATAAGATGTTTTTTCATAAAAAAATTTAAAACTTACAATGCAATAAAAAACTTTACCTTCTTTAAACATTTTATGTCTAAAAATTTGAAAAGACAGATAATTTGTTATAGATCAAGAGATCACAAGATATATACAAAATTATACATAGATTTGAGAGTTTAATTTCAAGTGTAAAAAGCAACTAATAATGATTTAGGATTTAAATTTTAAAAATAAAAAATTATTATCTTTTCACATTAAAGATTTTATCCTAATATGTAATCAATGAAATATCATATTTTCATTTTTTTTAAAGATATCATATTATTGTCACCTAACTAACAACAACGAATAAAATACAAAACAACAATAAATTAAGTCGCATTATAATTTACATTAAAAAATTATACTTTTGTAATTGGCAATATCATTTTAATTAAATTATTATTTGTTTTTGTTTTTTTTTTTGTCTGAAATTATTAAATTGTAAAATAAATCAAATAATTATAAAAAAAAAAAAAAAACTTAGAGTGTATAGAAAATATCTTTTCTTGAGATATATGTATGGAAAATCGTGCATCGCATGAGCTTTTTTTAGTCTATACAAAAGGATGACAAAAGTACAACTCTTGCATAAGTTGCATGACAGCATGATGAGTTGCAAAAGTCCTAGCATTACGCAAGGTCGCAACACATGATTATTGCGGGCCTCAATCCAAGCTGGCCGAAGTGATCTGAGTTGATCCATATTCGGCCCATATAAAAGTCAAGGTATTGAAAATGTGGAAATTACAAAAAAAAAATAAAAATAATTCATTATTTTTGTGAGCAAAAGTCAAATTTTGATTTATAATTGACAGACCATTTGTTTTTTTCAATCTCTGAAATTTGAATAAATAATCAACTAAATCAAGCAAAATTCCCCATAAAAATTATTTACAAAGATCATTTTACCAAACAAACCACAATTCACATAATCACATGGTCAAAAAGGTTCAAATTTCATCAAAAAGACAAAAACCCAACAACATTAACAAAAGGTTCAAAGTTTACCAAACAAACAACAACAAAATCAACCAAAGTTTAATATAATAAACTAATTAGACTGAATTAAATTGAAGATTAGAATTTTAAACTAAAAATTAGAAATCAACTTACTAGCAAAATGAGAATAGGAGATTAGACTTTAGAAAGCGACGAAGCGAAGAACGGTGAGCAAGAGGACAGAGCACAGAGTAGTGGAGCAGTGGAGCAGGGCAGCAGGCGAGCAGCAGCCAGCAGGCCAGCAGCACAACCAGCACTGGAGGCGTGAGCAAGCTAGCAAAGTCGCGAAGAGCACTGTCAAAGTGTCAAACATTTCACAAATTCACAATTCAGAATTTCAAATAATGCAAAATTCTCTGAAATTGAGTTGATTATTGAACAATTAGGGATTTAGGGTTCAAATTTAGTATTACTAATTCATAACTAACAAGTAATATCAACAATTAAATAAATAAATAAACAAAAAAAAGCCGAAAGATGCATCTACTAACCTGAAATTATGCGAAGAGGAAGACGAAGCGAACTAGCGAAGAGGCGAATTGGAGTTGGAGATGATTGATGAAGGATTAAAAAGAAGAGGCGAATTGGCGAAGAGAAGAACTGAAGAAGGCTAGGGCTTGAAATCAATTCGTGATTTGGTCATTTGGGGAAAACTGATTTTAGTTTTTTTTTTTTTTTTTTTTTTTTTTTTTTTTTTTAAAAAAAAAATAACTTAAAATTTTTTTGGGCCTGGTGAGTCACTTGACCCACCAGGTCTAAGCCCAAGTCGGCCACTGGTGATATGGGGTCACCTTGGCGGAGGCCCCTCTCCAGAACAAATGCACTCGATGCCTCTCCATTTACTACAATCGTGTGTGAGACTGTAGAAACGCAGCTCATAACCATAAGAACCCAATCAGCATGAAAGCCCATAGTCAACATAACTTTCTCCAAAAAAATCCACTAGACCCTATCGTATGCCTTGCTCATGTCAAGATTGACAGCCATATTTTCCATTATTTCCTGAATTCAAACTGTTCATATAATGGAACATCTCAAATGCGATCAATGTATTATCTGTGATCAACCTTCTCGGAGTGAAGGCACTTTGATTCAAAGATATAACATCTGGCAAAATTAACTTCAGTCTATTTGCCAACATTTTTGAGGCTATATTATATATCACATTGCAAAGGCTAATAGGCCTATATTCTTTCATAGCAGTGGATTTTTAATTTTTGAAATACAAACAATATGGGTATTATTAACTCACGACAAATCAGACGTACCATTCAGCATAGAGATGACATACTCTAACACATCCTTCCCAACTATATGCTGGTGCTTTTGAAAAATATTTGCATTCATTCCATCTGGACCAGGAGCTTTACTTGGATGCATCTGGAAAAGTGCAGTATAAACCTCACCCGGATCAAAAGATCGGATGAGACATTCATTCATTTCTTCTGTCACTCTCCCTGAACGCCAGCAATAGTTTCTTCATAAAACTCAGGTCGTATTGAGGTGAATAAATTCTGGAAGTATCCCTGCGCTACACTCTGCACTTCATCCGGATTAGTCTTCCACACCATTTTCTCATCATAAACACCTTTGATAAAATTCCTCTTTCTCCTTCTGGATGCCTTGATATGAAAAGAATTTGTATTCTGATCTCCGTCACTTAGGCTCAATATCCTCGACCTCTGTCTCCACATTATTTCTTCTAAATGCAGCAAATCATCAAGATTGTTTGACACTCTTTTTCTTACCTCCACTACTCTCTCAGTTGGAGCACAATTGTCTAAGTAGGCCAATCTTTCTCTTGCCTTTTTTAATTTTCGTCTGTATATGCCCAAACTCCTCCTAGTACCACTTCTAAAGAGCTGTAACACATTCTTTAATCTTCACAATGACATCTGCTGCATTAACCAGCTCGCTATCTTTACACCATGCATCCTGATAACTCTCTCACACCCCGGAGATGTAAGCCACATATCTTCAAACCTAAATTTCTTCTTTTCACCCCCACCAGAAGGGGCATTTGTTATGGGTCCAGCCCAATTGAAGTAAAATGTATCTTGTTTTGGTCCATTTACTTGGTCCATTTTTATTACATTTTACTAGCTTGAATTAAGTCTAATTTAGGGACTTTAGTTGTGGCTTCTTCTAGAAGCTTTTGGGGATGACTTTTGTGGCTTCTCTTGGAAGTTTTAGATGGAAAATCTTGTGGTAAACAAGTGACCAAGTGAGGCAGCTAGCAGCTGAGCATACACACAAAAAAATAGAGAGAGAGTTAGAGTTCTTTTACAAGAGCTTTCAACTTCGGAGTTTTTCTGGGAAGCCTTCAAAACTGGTTGTTTTTCAGAGTTTTCACCGTTAGATCGTGCTCAAATTTTGGAAGCTTGTTCCAGACATCAAGGGCTTCATTTTGGACGGCTGGATCGTTGTTTTGAGCTCTATTTGGTCGCAGTCGTCTCTGGACGGAACTTCTGTTTTTGGGTGAATTCTACTCTTTTGCTCTCTAATTTTTGATCTCTTATTGTTTATTGTTGTTGGTGGGTTGTGAATTGTTGTGAACTATATTGGGTTCATTTTACCCTCAATTTTATTATCAATAAGAGAATATTAAGGGTGGACTCCTCAAGAGGTCCCGTGGTTTTTATCCTTCGCATCGAAGGGGTTTTCCACGTATAATTCGTGTGTGTTACTTGTATTTTATTCCGCTTATTATTGATGCTTTGTGAGTGAAATATTGCTGTCCATATTTCATATTCGTGTTGTGTGATATTTTGGATTGATTGGTTTGGATATTTGGTTGGTTGTCTTAAGTTGGTGATTCTTTGAGTGTCGTAGTGACCTCTTCCGATCCCTACAACATTTGTAATTTTAACAGGAACATGGTCAGACCTGTCTCTTGGAAGGCTAAAAACAGCAACATGTGAGATTGAAGTAATCCAATCAACAGACGCAACCGCTATGTCAAGACGCTCACAAATACCATCCGGATCAGCCTGCTTATTCCACCACGTAAATAATTCTCCATTGTACCCTAGATCTTGCAAACCATAGTAATCTAGCGCCTCCCGAAAATCATCCATCTCACGCTGTGCCCGAGGGGCACCACCCTTCTTTTCAGCTTCAAAAAGAATTTGATTGAAGTCACCAACAACCAACCATGGCAAGTCAGACATACTATACAAATTTCTCAAAAGCTCCTAGTAAAGAAATTTTTGGGTGTTGTAAGCCCACCCATAAAATCCCGTGAGCCTCCAAATCTCATTATTAAATAAGCCTCGAACAGTATAGTCGATATGATGGGAAGAGGATGACAGCACCACAACATCAACATTATCAGACCTTAGTAAACCAAGACCACCCGACCTACCCTCCGAATCCACAAAATGGCCAAACTAATAAGAAAGACGATCTTTAACTCTATTAATTATTCGAACACCTAATTTAGTCTCCATTAAAAAAATCTCCGGACCCTCTGTATTCAGCAACTTTCGGGCCTACCAACTGCTCGAGGGTTGCCAAGCCCTCGACAGTTGTAGCTTATTAGGATCGGCGGGATTGGTCATCACCAATCTCCGCCATTATTTCATTGATATTAGAGATCAAATTACCACCACTCGACAAAGGAATAGCTACAAAACTCGAGTCATTAGGATTGTCTTACATATGAGTATCAAAAATAGGTTCATTATTTTTCCCAGCCGATGAGGCCATATTAGTTGACATTCTCTCCAATCTCCGTCTTTTCAAGAATCTGGAATTGCTCTCTTACATATCAATATCATCATCTGCAAAAACTTCACCAGTCTCCTATCCTTCTTTTGCCACAGGATTATCATAAACCATAGCAGCCCCTTTGATTAAAGCAACTCCACCACTGCCTGCCTTATTCGCGAGGGAGCCCCATTTCTCATAGTGAAAACATTTTTGTAAATAAACCAACAATTTTATTCAATTTTATTCAATTGTGGAGCCCACAATAATGAAAAAATTAGTTGATTTATTTACGAAAATGCCCCCATGAGAAACAAAAACAGGGAATTTCCCCTTATTCGCCCCTGTCAAAGTTTAGTTTTTAACTTGGCCTTACTTTCTCGTAGACTCCCTGTGAACTCTTGGCACATCTTTAACTCCTCTTCTTTTTTATGGTCAACAGTTCTCCTCTTTCTCATAGGTGAAGCTCTCAGTCACATCCCATAAAGTAATTCAGAAACAGGGGTCACGTCATCATATTTCATACGTTGTTGACATATACTGGTTTAATGCATCCATCAGCTTCTCATAAGAGAATTTTATGAGTTTACTTCCATTCGAGGTAGCAATTCGCATACGTCTCCTAAGCAGTTTATCCAACTTCAAATCCACCCTGAACCGCATAAACTTGCTCCACCCTATCGGATCAGACTCATCAATTCAATAAATCTACCAATACTTGAGGCCACTGAGACTTTGTAAATAGACTTAGTGCGTTTATTTAGAGGCACATCTTCAGCTTTGACCGACATTCTTATCGTATCAAAGGAGATTTCTAATGGCTGAACTCCTTCCTCAATCTTCTTCAATAGCACTTTGATTTTATCAGTAATAGAAAAGAATTGAAAGATAAATAATTTGTTCTCAATTTCACGAACAACAACCCCTTTCATCAACCTCCAAGCGATCCTCAACGTGTTCTGCATCGCCTCGAACAGGGTCAAGGTCAGAAGCATTCCAACAAGGCAAAGCCTAAGTGTTTTTGATATCGTTTCCGTCTCTTCATCTTCGCAGTATATAATTTCCTCCTCCTCTTCTGTCAGGGTTAAGCC